TGTTTATCCAAATGAGAGATGCTCTGGTCGTATAGGTCTTCAGTCTGATCGGACTGGGGTTGACAGAGATGAAAGTGTGAGAAAAATGAAGATTAAAGGTTTTATAAAATGATAAATTATCAACTTTGGACATGGTAATAGCAAATTAAGTGATATATATTAAACAGCTTGTCTAATTAGCCTAGGGATGGTAATATCAAAAAAGCCAAAACTAAGAATAAATCATTTTAAGGCAAAAATAAGGAAAAGCGAAGACATTTTAACCCAAAATTTACCGAAAGATCAAACACAAGGCGAACAAGTCAACCTCATAAGTCATATGCTTTAGCGTGGAACTATTCAATTTAAATGATTATATAGTGAAGTATAGACAACGGCAATTAAGTTTCAGTGCCATTAGGACTACTTTAAAGAGGCCCTGTATTTAGGTAGAGGATAAACCAAGAAATTGTTATGGATACATATATTTTTTTGAAGTTTAAAAATGTCGTAGCATTAAAAACAAAATATAGTCAATATTTATTTATTTTATTTAAATCTAAGTGAAACGTATGAAAAGCGGTAGTCATTCTAACTACCCATCAAATGAGTCATAGGTAATTGGTGGACTATGGTATAGAAATCCATATTTTTAGCATAAGAATTGTATGCTACTTCCACAAGAGATAATATTCAAGGCGAACCAAAACGAACTCACTTTTAGAAATAAATCATAAAAATACCAAAACAACTTACCAGCTCCAAATTTGCTTCAATGATTTTCATTTCGCCTGCCATCTTTGTAAGAGTTGTTTCAAGGGAAGAAACTTGCCTAAAAGATTCACAAGTGGTAGGTTTGAATCTTGAAGATGCAAATAATTGCTTAATGAAACGAGTTATATCATATTTGTAGAAAAATATGTAGACTCAACACATTTCGCTGATCTTTGAGACTTAAGTTTTAGAAATAAGATAAGCATATTTAAAATAAGATGACATTCTAAATACACTTACTCAGAAGATAATTTGGCAGATAAAGGAGAATAAAAAGTTTACATTTCTAAAGAATAAATGAGATTCCAATATATTTTTCATTGGATCAAATAAATATAGAAAAATTGATTCAAATGATATTTGAAAGTCTATAATAAATTCCCATAGCGTGGCAAATATATGAGAATTGTTCATCGTTTTAATGAAGCTACAGTACTTTAATATACATAACTGGATCGAGGCATTATTTTACGGGAAAATATAAATTAAAAGTGATGCCTGCTAATTGAGACACGAAAAATTAGTGCTATTAAAAACAAAGGTTATGGCTTCCATGTTCAAAAGCCAGACTAATAAAAGCAAATTTTGGTGAGAAAATTAAAGGATATTCTTTAAATTAGGTACCATATGGTAATATACAATTTGACTTATTGTGTAAATGCTCATATAAGACATCGGAGTAGCACTTACTGTTCCATAATTCTGGCTCTCAATTCAGTTTCCTCTTGTTTTTTCTGGGCAATTTTAAGATCTCGAACTGACTAAAAATAATAACACAGAATCAACAAAAATTTAGAAATGAAGATACTGTAAAATTCAAAGAACAGTAGATGCTAAATTTTAAGGCAGGATAATGTTATATATACAAAGTTATCTAGCACTTTATCCAAAAATTCTCACTTATAAAATTGAACCACGGAAAGAATGGTAGGCTTTAGAGATAGATAAACTATCATGGCCTACAATATAGTAGAAAAGAATAGAGCAAAATAGAAAGCGTTCAAGGGTCATGTATAAGTAAGAATGCATGCAAAATGCCTAAGGCATTTATAATGAAAGATGTGATGAACAACTTTTAAGCGAACAAGTGTAATAAAGCATTAAAATATTATACCGCAATAATTACACGGTTGCGCATTTCAGATAAAAATTTGATAAAGGTACTCGGTAACCATCTTAGGTTAAGAGTAAATATCATTAGCTACACGAGATTTGGGATATATCTATATTTTCTGGAAATATTAAATAGCAGACAATTAACATTTTGTAAATTATAGCTTTTATTCATTTTTTATACGTAAGTAGCAAAGTAAGAAGGAAGTGTCTAGTTAATAAGGATATATAACAATTAATTAAATGAGCAATAATGATAATTAGCAAAATATATCTTTGTATAACCTCTTCATAACGCAGTTTCCAGCTATCATGAGCTTCAATAGCCAGGTGGTGTAGAGCCTCGACTTTTTTTAGCCTTAATTCGTGGGCGGATATAAGACTCTGGAACTGTCGACCAAGTTTAATGAATTTCGAATGAGACGAAAACTGATCGCTTTAAAAATAAGCAAAAATTAAAAAAAGAGTATACGACGAAAATTCGGAAGTATATAGGTATTACCCTTCGGTATCTTTGACAATATTGTTGAATTTATGAGCGACTTCGGCGAGGCTCAATTTAGCCGCTTCGATGTGATCATCTAAAAAGCTAATAGCTTGGTTTAGGACTGCAATCTCGACTTCTTTCTAATTTAAAGAATGTGGCGATGATAGAAATACAAAAATTAAGTTCAAATAAGAATATTGAAGATTTGAAGAAGACAAAGGGGAGACAACAAAGGAGAATACGGTAGGGCTGGTTTACTTAATAGGAATATTGCAAAATTCAGGATAAACCACGTAACCATTATCTTAAATGCAAAATTTAAATTTACGTAGTCACTAAATCGAAACTAAGTCCAAAAGTGTAAAAATAATTTCCAAATAGAATGGAAGCCTAGAGTAACAAGATATTTAAGCTGATCAAGCCATAGCATGGCATAATGAAATGTTTTACACAAAAGTATCATTATTATAAACTTGAAATCACTACTACTAGAAAACTAGCCAGGAAATAGGTAATACATTGCAATAACCAATTATATCCGATTAACTCACATTTTGCCTAGCGGACTGACATTCATCTATAGTTGCATCTATGGAATTCGAAATATCATTAAGAGCTTCAATCTGCTTCTGCCTCTCACTAACCATATTTTTAACGGCTGTAATGAGGCAAACACCAACACTCATTGCAAAGGATGAACCAAGAGCAAATGTGCACAAAGAGGGCTTTTAAAAGAGTCGAATTAGTTTCAGTTTAATTAAACAAATATATAAACATTGATTATATTAGATGCTGTGCTAAACATTTTTGCTTATTTTAAGAATTTTTATTTTATTTTTTGATGGGATTTAATTGTAATCTGATGTTTATCTAACAATAAGCTATTATTTCATTTGTTAAACTGAATCTTCAGAAAATAAGGAAAGTTGAAAATTTATATAAAAATTATATTATGTAATTTATATACTTTTACAATTAAAATGCTGTAAACATATAAATACTTTCGTTTTTTTATATTTTTATCCATTATTTCATCATACAGAAAGTTTCCTTCAAAAGGGAAAATAAAAACCCTAGATAGATCGATATAGAGTAGTTTGGTTAATTTTCTTTAATACTGGCCCTGTTATTTTTGCTCGATTGTATGAGTATGTGTATTTCTGCATATAGGCACTAACACGCACAAATACACAGACTAATACAATCGAGCAAACATAACAGAACCAGTATGAAAGAACATTAACCAAACCACTCTATATCGATCTATCTAGGCTTTTATTTTCTTTTGGCTCAATTCACTCTATATAAGAAGTAATATAGACCCCGATATTATTCTTGGCCTAGTGTTAGCGTGAGACTTTTACAATAATGAAACCCAACCCTGATGATGACCATCATCTGAATGACGAAAGCTCAGCACTTTTTTACCTTAAACGAGGGAGGAGGTCTTGTGGATTGCGTCAACATAAATATTGCATAAAAGCCAAACGGCCGCAGTACATCGATATTTATTCGTCTTTATCTGGTGAGATCGACCGACAAATCTTTTCTTTATTAACTTTCATACGAACTGAAAGCCCCCTTAACGAAATAAATAGACGCTAATACGGGTGGTGATAAATGTTTCTTCGTGGCAATGATCTTAATTTAACTGGGTGTTAAAATCTTATTTTTTTATAAGAATACAATGAAAGCTATTCAGTAAAAATTATAACGATTTTAGGAACCTTG